AGAGTTTGACTCAGCTGTGGGAAGACAGCATGCCAGAAACATTCCATTTGTTTTAGGGTCAGATGATCTGAATTGGGGGGGGGGGTGTAGCTATGGCATTTTGCAGCAAAATCTTTCCTTCTCTTAATGATCCGTGTGATTGACAGAGAAGATATTTAGTCAGACTAAGAGAGGGAGCCCTTTCCGCATTCTTTAAAAATGTTCATTTCTGGAGGGGCAAGAAAATTGTCACAGCTTTGGAAGCACATCTGGTAGATTTATCAATATGGGTTTTCCTCCTCCCCTCTCCAATTATTCTGCTAAAATGCAAACAGTGATGAAACTAGGATGCATAGCAAAGTTGATGTGGACAATGTTTACAAAACTTGCTAAAATATTTTCTCCCAATATACTATATAACATTGCCATTTTGCTCTTTTTTATAGTAGCATTGGAATTAGAATTAGCAGTGGAAAGCTTTTTCCTCTGTTTTAATCATGGCTTCAATTCTAAATACAATCTAGAATTGGTTTCTTGATTAATATAGTTCTTTTTTTCTTCTATCAAGCAATGGAAAACAGGATAGGATTTTGTGACAATGACATCCTTGTGTTTTTTTTTCTGAACTTACTACATCATAAAAACAGTCTCCTCTTTTTTCCACTTTTCTCCTGGAAGAGTTAAGTATGCAATAAATTATGGTGAGCAGAAAGCAGAGCTTCTCTGGAGACTGGATTTTGATGATACACAGTATCAGAGATTTAGACATTGAGATGTAAACATGTTTAGCTTATATTAAAAAGAATCTTGGTGAAATCAGTGGTATTTACATATAATTAAACTTGAGGCATAATGATATGTTGCTCTTTGAAGTCTGACTTAGTAATATTTTCCAAAGTCTACTTTGCTGTACAATTTTACAAGTTAGTAGGAATTTCTAAGGGTCTGTAGTATTTACTAGTTGATTTTAGCTTTCTTCCCTTTTCATTCAAAGTAGTGACAGGAAAATATGTGACCCTACAGCTTACAGAATATTTCTGAGTATTAATATAATTTGACTGACAGTTTCATTATTAACATGCAAAAAGAAAAAGAAGTATCATAAGACCTTGGAGCTCTATTAATCTAATCCCCTTCCCAAGACAGGTATCTTTATAACATCCCAGAAAAATGGTTGTCCAATCTTTTCTTGAAAACTTCCAACAGTCAGGGAGGTAAACTGTTCCATTGATTAATTGTTCTCAATTCAGGAAATTTCTTCTTATTTCCAGGTTGAATCTCACTTTGACAATCTTCCACACATTGCTTCTTGTCCTTCCCTCAGGTGCTATGAAGAATAAATTGGTTCACTGATCATCCGACTGCAAATCCATCTGGTGGTGGAACCATCTATTCCACATAGTTCTACTGTATCTTACCAGGCTGGTTGGTCTACTTTGTCAAATGCCTTACTGAGTCCAAGTATATTATGTCCATAGCATTTCCCTGATCCACTATTTTAATCACTTTATCAAAGAAGCCAATAAGGTTTGTCTGGCATGATCTGTTTTTAATATACCCATGCTGAATTCCAGTAATCACCTTGTTCCTTTCTAGGTGCTTACAAATTTGCTGCTTGATTATCTTTCCCAGGATTTTCCCAGGTATTGATGTCAAGCTGATTGGTCTGTAGTTTCCTGGATCCACTTTTATGAATGTTGGAACCACATCAGCATTTTTCCTGTCCCCTGGCAATTCTCTAGGAGCTCTGAAAGATTTCATTCAGTGATTCCAAGATCAGATGTGCCAATTCATTCAGTACCCTGGGAAGTAAAACATCTAGTCCCATAGATTTGAATTGATCCAAAGCAGATAGTGTTCTCTTGGTAATTCCTTGCCTGTTTTGACCTTCATTCTTGTTCTGTCTCCCATAGTGGTGCTTTTGATAGGTTGGACAATTTTTTTTCTTTTGCTTAAAGACAGATGCAAAGAAGGAATTAAGCAGTTCTGCTTTCTCCCTGCTACCGTTATCTTCTTGCCATTTTCTTCCATTAGTGGACCAACCATTTCCTTGATTTTCCTTTTTGCTCCTTATTTATTGAAATAAAAACTTTTTGTTGTTATTTTTTGCATTTGTTACAACTCTTAGTTCATTCTGAGCCTTAGCATTCTTGACTCCATCTTTGCAGGCTATTTGCTGGTATTCTGCTCTAGTTTTATGTCCCTCTTTCCATTTTTTAATATTTGTATTTTGTCCCCTACATTGTCAGAGAGCTCTTTGTGCAGCCATGCTGGTCTCATATAGATTCTCTTGTTTTTCCTTTTCAGTGGTATTGTTTTTGTTTGGACATTTATCATCTCATTTTTCAGAGTATCCCAAGCACCTTGTATCGTTTTTCCCATTAAGATTTCTACCCATGGAATCCTTCTTTTTCTCTCTCTTACTTTATTGAAGTCGAGTCTCTTAAAGTCTGAAACATCTGTGTCACATTATCACAGAACAATTGTAATTTATGGCATTAATTGCTTATGAATTGCTTGGAAAATATTTGATTAAATTCTATGCAGAATCATAACTTTTTCACTATTTTACTATGTGGTTATTTTCCATTACATGTGCACTGTAGACACTATGGGTTTAATAATGGGTTTGAAATGGGTTTAACCATTTCAGTTACTAATATGAGTCAGACTAAAATTAGAATATCTAGATTGAAATGTTTTGTGGGAACCATATTCACAAAGAAGGCATGTGAGAATGTGATTGTTAGAAGCTAATAGTAAAGATCCATGAATTATGAACACATTTTGCATACCCATATATTTTTATAGTGCTTATCATTTTAATGACTGAAGTTCTGGAACCAGTATGTATATCTTCAGTCTGCTTTCATTAGACCAGGGGTCATCAAACTCGGCCCTTTTATGACTCATGGACTTCAACTCCCAGAATTCCTCAGCCAGGCATGCTGCATTAGACTAACTGCCTAAAGGACTTGAATCAAGCCTCAAATTCCAGACACTTCTGTTATTTCTCTTGTGGCTAAATCATAAACAGGAAGATTGATTTTGTAATACTGTAACTAGGATATAGATGACTTCCCAAATATTCAAGCAACTGAAGCTGAAAAGTAATCCTATCAAAATGGATGTAAGCATTCTTCCCAACTTCAATACACTTTTTGACAAGACTGTTACTCCCTTATTTCAGTAATGAACAATATATTTCTAAAATTACTATCATTTTAATCTTCTGTGGGCTCTTCTGTGGCACACCTTAATTTTTCAAGAGGAATTGTGGTATAAAGGTGAAAACCTTGATTTAAATGTTCCTTTAGTGTGACTTGCTTTTAAAATATGCCTAGCAATATATACAGCTGAAACATATATCATATATGATATATGAACTAATCAGTAGGCCTTATCAACTTGGAAGCACCTTTAGATCCATTAAGGAATGCCTTGCTTCAATGGAACCAACAATTCAATTTTAAAAGATATTGAAAAATGAAAGGAATTAATGGTGATTACATTGTATCTAATTTTATTTTATGGAAGCTTCAAAATTACAAGTTTATATCACCTTCACATATAATAGCTTGATTTCATTTTTATTATTCCCCAGTGAACACTGCCTGATATAGTAGTGGGGAGACACAGTTGTTGCATTCTCCAATATTACTGATGGGAGATTAAAAGAAACTTAAAATCCTCCTATTTTCCCAAGAAATACAATACTGGCCCTTCAAAGGATCTTGTGGTAATACTACAACTGAGTAGAGTGCATCTTGAACTCCGATCTCCAAGGTTTAGGTCTCAAGTAGAAATTGTTTCCATCCCTGATATTTGATATTTTATCGAGTGGAATTGCAGGCACTTAGAGCTAAATCCACATACATGCTGTGTCTCCCCTTGATAAAGGATGTAAGGCTGGTATATGACCTTCCTATACTTAGGAACAGGATCAACAGTGGGCCAGACATGATCAATTTGGAGAATTTCATGGCTAATTTGTTATTGTACTATGCACTTTTTTCATAATTAAACAAATGGTATATATTTTAGATATGGCAGTTTTCTCTAACTGTTGTTTCCTATCAGACAAAAAAACGTATTTATTACCCTAGTACTTTAGAAAAGTCTGCATACAAACAATTACAAAATATTTTGTAAATCGGGGGGGGGGGAATTGTCACTGGAGTTGATAAGAGTCAGGCAGCATTTCAGTCATATTAAATAAGTATACTTTATCCAGACATTGCTTCCTGATCAGAAAATAGCACAATACACAATTTACAAAAATGAGAATTGTGTGGTCAAGTTTACTTCTGTCAAAATGATTGATGATGTGACTACTGTATATTGATAGGACATAAGAGAGTGAAATCATTATTGCCATGTTTTAGTAAGAAGTGGAATCATATGGAAAAGAGAATTCTTCCATCAGAATAAGTACTCTAATTTTGATCCCTTGTCCTTTACTCTGATATCAAGTTTATAACAGAGTTGGGAACAGCCACTTTCCTTTGATAACTCCCTACCGATTTATTAATAATTAAATTGTAATAAATCTCAGTAAAATGCTTGAGGAAAAGGAGAGAGTTAAAAACGTAGCATCATGAATATTTATGGAAAATATGGACTATGTACATTACATTCCTAGAACTATGTTCATGTTTATCTTTGGAAGGTAATTTGTATTTTCAACTGCATTAGCTACCACCCTCAAAGGTTTCTAGTTAATTAATATTCCAGTATTCATTGTTGCATTTTCTTTATGCTAAATAGTTGTAGTAATGTGTATGAAGATACCTACTTCTGTAAATGACACATGCAGTCAGTAGGTCCCTATATAAACACTAAAATTTTGTCTTAGAATAAAAAAAAAATCCAAGATAATAAAAGTTAGTGACTGCTTCATTTTTTAAACTTGTAGAAACCTAATCTTTAACTAGGTACTAGTAGTTTTTCAAGTCATTTTTATGAAGAAAAATTTGTCTTACACTTGTCAATATTAAATTGATTTTCCTTGCTTTTTCTAGGGCGAAGAAACCAAAACATTGACTCTTATTCTTCATCGTGATTCAGGATCTCTTGGATTTAATATAATTGGTGGCCGTCCGTGTATGGTATGTTGATATTAAAATTATATTTCTTAGGAATAGTTTATGCAAAATAAGTTTTTAGAAAAAGTAATAAAATATATAAAACCGTAATTCTAAACATAGGAAAAAAGGTCAATTAAAGATCAAGCCTGATTCAACATAACAAAGTATATTTCGTTCTCACTTAGTGACCACATTGGATCTCCTCTGTCATTCTCAAAGCAGTTGCTAGGTGAAACTTTGAACATGTTTATGATCTTACTTCAGATTTTCTTTGCTTTCCAGACCTGCAAAAGCCATATACTTACTTTTTCATAAATTCTGTTAACTACAAACATCACTGTCAGAGGCAATTGCTAGAAGAAGGCGATCTGTAGAATTTACTCATAGAAACTTAGGATATGTAATGCAACATGTATGTTTTTCCCTGAAAAATATTATCCACATGCATATAAAGGTAGACCTCAACTTAGAACCATTTGTTCAATGACTGTTCAAAGTCACAACATAAGTGGAAAAAAAGAATTTACCGTTTTTCACACTTACGACCATCATAGCATCCCCATGGTCACGTGATCAAAATTTGGCTGCTTGGCACCTGGCTCATGTTTGTGGTGATTGCAGTGTCCAGGGGTCACATAATCAGCTTTTGTGACCTTCTGACAAGCAAAATCAATGAGGAAGCCAGATTCACTTAACAACTGTATTACTCACTTTATTATGCAGTGGTTCACTTAAGAACTGTGTCAAGAAAGTTTGTAAAATGGGGAGCAAAACCTACTTAACAACTGTCTTGCTTAGCAACATAAATTTTGGGTTGAATTGTGGTTGTAAGTCAAGGAATACCAGTATTTCCTTGGGAAAAAATGCTGTTTTCTTATTACTGTAGTATGTTTTTTCTTATGATGTTTGGTGATAGCTTAGAAATGCTTGATCATATAGGAATTAAACAGATAGGGCTGATGCAGATTCAATCTGTCATATCAAGCTATCTTATTATTTTCGTTACCTCAGAAAATACGCTTTGTTTAAGCAGGTACTGTACTTTTTATTGATATGTTCCTAATGGGGTTTTTATTATGTTTTAATTTATTTCTATCTAAAAATCACTTTTGATATCCAATTTGAATACCATTCTTTGTTGAAAAGATAAGGTATAAATTCCATTAAGTTCCTACTAGTATAGTACGTTTAAAATGGGGAGAACCAAATGCATGTCTATCTTTCGCCATGGATATTCACTGAATGTCTATCTCTCAGTTCAACTTACTTGTTGAGAGAAAAATTAAAGAAAGGAGTGCTGTATATCTAATAAATAAATGAATTCTTTGAAACAATGTCTCCTAACCTGATTTTATCCATATGCTTGGATATGGATATGGTAAGTTTACCATGCCCATTGAGAATTCTGGGAGTTTACATCTGGAAAACAGCAGGTTGGCAAAGACTGCTGTATGACTTGAACAGTTTCTTCAAAAAGATGCTGAAAAAGTGGACTTTTGAATAGAAGCAAACATAACAGATAAAGCTATGCAAAGCTTAAAAGGCATTTCACCTGGATTGATTGAAAACCTCTCCAGTGTTCTACATCAAGATTTTGGATATATATTTTCTAGTACTTCTAGCAACTTAAAGCAGTCAGGCAAAGTGACTTATCCTAATGTGTCAGCTAAAAGCACTGAGATGTCTCACTTTTTTTGAGTGGAGGTATTGCCTTTTATTGAATTGTTCTTTCATTCTTACTCAATGCACCTCCCTAAAGTGACATTGCTTTGTCCAAGCCTAGTACCTAGCAAATTCCATGGGCTTTTAGGAGCAATAAAGATATTTCCATTGCTGAATATAATTATAATAATTATAATTATTATAATTTCTTATTATAATAAGCTTACATACAAAATTGTAAAGCAGTTGGACCTGCTATTTATTACATGCCAGATTTCCAATAGAATATTCATAAGAAACAATTTTAGGTCATCTGTATGTTTTGTTTTAATAATTTGTTTATTTTTCTGCTTAAAAGACTATTGATTAGATGACATCAATTTTCACTATGATTTTTGCTTGTAAATTTCTATAATTGTTTTGAATATCAGCAAAATATTTTACATTTATGGGCTGCTATATTGTAACAAACTTTGCAGACTCCGTATTATCTGACAATATGTGAAGTATAGAGATGATTTTGCTTGTAAGAACACTCCTAACTTTGTTAAGGAATTTGATGAAAATATTTCTGTCAAGTGTTCATGTACAGGATTACATCCTGAACTGTAAATATTTTTATTTAGTTAGTTATTATTAAATTTATATGACATCCATTTCCCTATTCCCGGACATCTTACAATATAATATGCTATTAGGAGGTTTGTTACCCATTTAAATTTCCATTTTTCAATTAAATGAAATTATAGCTTGACAGTGAGATGGGTGGCATATACATTTAATAAGTAAACAAATAAATGAAAAACATCAATAGCTTGTACAAAATTGTTGGGTTGTTGATGCTCTCTGAGCTTGGTTGTTTTCTTGCAGACATTTCATTACCAGATTGGTAACATCGTCAGTTGAGCATTGATGATGTTACCTAGTTTGGTAATAAAATATATGTAAGAAAACAATCAAGCTCAGAGGGAATCAATATTCTCTTCTATCTTTAAAAAATTAAATTGGATATTACAAACAACATTTATATAAAGTTCTGTTACAGCTTTAGGTTTTAAAAACATGGAAGGCGACTCTCCTTGCATTAAAAAGGGGATGTTTAAAAGCTTAAAATAAGCTACCTACTGGAAAAAGCTGGTCATCAACAAATAGGATGTTTCCATGCTATGGAGTAATATGCATTTGCCAACATCACTGAAGAAAAGGAGCCCTGTTAAAAGAAAAGGCAATGTCTTCCATGAATTAGAACAGTGAGCTAAATGAGCATAGTATTATCATTTCCTCCCTTCATATTACAATGATACATATCGGAAAACCTCTTAACAATCAGCAAAATGTTTAGAGAAGAATCCTGGAAGTAGAACTTTTAAAAATGTAAGACCTTCATTTGCTTTTATGTGTTATTCATGTAAAAAGTTTCCACTTGATGAATGGGTACTTTAGCTAGACTACAAGTTATGCTCTGCAAATCCATTTATTATATATGTAGACGTGGGCAGGGTCAGAGGCATCTTGGGGACTAGCCTATTGTATTTCTTCCTCCGGTGCTTATCAGGAGCATCCAAGGTATCTACTCCAAATTAGACACGAACTGCTACTCCTGCTTTTAGCATTTACCTAGAGAAGATCTGCATTCCCATGGTGCTGACCAACAATGTCCTCTAGCATCCACATGGCATTCCATGTTTAAATAGTGAGCATTGCTATGACTTCAGTTTCCTTCACTCTTAAGTGCTGTTTGCATTCTTTTTCTTTGCTTTACTTAAAGGACAATCAAGATGGCCCAACTAGTGAAGGAATCTTTGTCTCTAAAATAGCCGACAGCGGACCTGCTGCCAAGGAAGGAGGACTCCAGATTCATGACCAGATTATTGAAGTAAGAACACTTGGTCCAATCTATTTTCCACTGGCATAGCTCTATCCTCATTCTGTGTTATAAAATATAACATGCATTTCCAATCCAGGAGAATGGTGACATGAGCAGCAGAGGCTGGAAGCGAAGGCAGCTGAAACATGCTTGACTGTTTCAATGTTGACCTTCTGGGCTTTAGGTATAGTTGTTATCTAATTATAGAAAGCAGATTATGGAAGGTATGTGCTTGTCCTGATATTTTGAAGAGCTAGCATCTACTTGGTATGCTGCAGCTATTTCTTCTGAAGCTGATGGAGACATGCAAGTGGTTTAGTTAAAACCATATGTGAGGGCAAATATTTGTTGTGAAAACTGTGACTTTATTTAGCTTGGTTTCTAAGACTTTTTTTTTTCAAGAAGACCAAAATGTTTCAAACAGTTGATAAAGGACAGATGCCTCTCTTAAGTGAGTATGCGAACACATTACGGTGAGCTTTCCTAAGAAATCCTTAAAGAGTTACTGGATGCTCGTTTTGGATTTTTTCCCATTCCCTTAATGTCTTGATTGTTTGAAAAAATAGTTTTTATTGTTGTGCTCCTTTCTTAAGATGGTTTTAAAGCTCTTCTTATTTTTTGATGGAGAAAGTTAAATTTATGGAACAAGAAGCAATTAATTGCAAATCACATTCCATTGTTGATTTTCTTAAGGTCTGAATTTTTAAAATTGTTGTAAAAGTGGAAGCATTACTGGACTATAGATTTTTTTTTCTTAAAAAAAAAAGGCAAAAGGGAGTTTTGCTTTTGGGCCAAAGATAGCAGTGAAGCAGCCAGTTTCTTCAAGTCCTGGAATTCCTTTGCCCTCATCTTTTTAAAATGTGCAATAAGCAGCTGCAATGGATTTTCTATTGTCAGAAAGCAATATATAGACTTTTTGTCTTCTGCATACACAAAATAAATTTATTATGTACTTACTGTGTTTTTGTTAAAGATAGAACTGGTTATGCTTGGAAAAGCCTGTTTAAAGATGCAATGGAGACTGAAAAAGAGAAAGGCAATTCTAAAATAATGTCTGTTGTAAAGTTATAAAAAGGCTGTTTGGAAGAGAAAGAAGGAATATTCATACAGTCTTTTTCCACTAACTTTTATAAATCTTATGAAGCTTATAATGACTCCAACATCTCTCTGTAAAAACTGTATCTCATGGTTTTGGTTTTCTAGAAGAGTGGCAGGTTTAGATCTAAAGGGATAAATAACAAAATTCAGGTGCAGCACAGGCATGGTTGCTGACTTATTAGCAGCCACTTAAACAGCCGTGCCTGCATTTTGGTGACAAGGTCTCAAGGAAAAGAAAACACTCATTTGATTTCAGGAGGCCTTAAATAGGTGACAGCAAGATATATTCACATGTAGCTACCAGAGACAAGGGACAGCTCCTTATAAGAGTTGCCAAGAGGTACAGGATATATGTCAGTGGCAGATTTGACACCCCTTTACCTGTTTGGATTTCAACCTTGCTCATCAGTTTATCTTACTAAACAATACATAACAAATTAATGCCATCTAAGATATTTTGTCATAACTTAAGATAGGATGGAAAGACAGTGTTGTGGCAATTAGAAGTGGTTGTGTCTTTTATTGTTAGGATCTTTTCCCATTTTTATGACTAGGAATGAAAAAGACCATTTATATGAAGCAATATACTTTGTATATTATATCTCTCTGAGTAGATATATATATATATGTCAGTTCTAATCTGGTTATATGTAATTATATTAAAACTGAAATACAAATGGAGTTTTACTATGATCCTAATAACCATTTTTGTCTGGAGGGAAGAATTAATCCTTTCTCTGTCATAATTCAGATTAGAATCCTTCTGGTACTTTCAGAATAAATAAAAATTAAAAAATAAGACACACTTCTATAAGTATCATGTAGTGTATACTAATGATCTATTTACAAACTTATAAGATTTAACTTCCTCTAATGAGGTTCAGTACATGAGTCCAAAGTAGGAATAGCATATCCAGACAGTGGGATTAGTTGCTTTATATCTACAGAATAATTTTGGTAGAATAAGTGGGAGAGATCAGATACTATAACAGAATTATCATTAATTTTGTTGATGTCTCCAGCCTGCACAAATCTTGAGATTTAAAAGGCTCTGGATGCCTATGCAAGTTATCTTCTGAAATTGTGATAGGCTTAGTAGGATGAGGAGGTCTATGATGGTTGAACGTTTGAACTGTATTTTATCTCTTTAATGTCCAAACACATTAATGTTATCTGGACTCCCAAACACAATCCAATCTTAATGTCTGAGAGGCCAAGATACGTTTCAAAGGTGACCTTGTTCTGCTAGAAAGAATGTGAAACAGATAAAGAGTGGTGTCACACTATAGTTATTAATCAGTAGATACAGGTCACTTCCACTGCGGAATTAAAGTTTATTATTTTATCATTATTGATCTGGGCATCAGTGATTACTGTAACTGTAAAAGGTGGAGAACATTCTGTATTGTGGAACAGTAAGGATTGTTATCTTTTAAATATTTGCATTGCAATTCATCCTGAGTTACAACTATTTGTGTCAGTTCATTTAAGTTTTATTGAACACATGGAGATTATGTATGCTGATATGGGATGATCATAAAATTTGGTGCTGTCTGTGGATTTTACAGTGTTCTTTACCAAAAAACAAACCAGGGTGTAGGACGAGCTATGAGAAGAAGATGCATGTGCTGGCTTATTCATGCTCTGAAAGAGTAAAATGGCTGTTAACAACCATTCACTATACGAAAATTGCCAAGGGAAACCAAACCAGCTGTTTGGGGAGATCCATCTTGAGTAATGTACCTAGGCTTGCTGCATCCCTATCACATATATTCACATTCATACATTCTCCTCGGAAAAAGAGAGAAAATCACCAGGAGTAGAAGGCAATTCCCAAACTTTGAGTTAATTGTAAAGAACTTGACTTGACTTGAAGCAAAGACATTTGGAATCCAAGTTGGGAAGAATTAGAATTCTACATGCTGGAGAAGAAATCTGATTCCATGGAACATGCTTGAAAATGAGAAATGCTCTGAGAAGATTTGATGAGGAGGCAATGTCAAGCTGTAGATGTGTTCTTTAAATCAACCCTGTATATTGAATAGAATACATGGCAACCCTCACAGTACCTGGATGTAGAATTATAGAAATAGAAGGCTGATTTTGAGGAGCCCCTGCCTAGTTAGGGAATACCAGATCTAATAATGGAAATGATACTAAGGTGACCAACTTTTTTACAATGAAAAGGAGGACACAAATAAATCGAAGAAAAAAATATTGTAAATAAAAGAAACATTTTATTCATTGCAACAATAATACAGAATATACTATAATATGATAAATGCATAATAAAAACATTTGTAACAATAACATTTTATATTGTAATTATGCTTACATGCTGCGCCCCCGCCTGCAGCCGCCCCACCAGCACTGCTGCCCCGCTGTGTAGAGTAGGCCCCGCAGCTCCCAAAGCACCAGCTGCGCCGGCTCCGGCCCTGGGGGGCAACCCGCCATCAACATACCCCGCCTGCAGCCACCCCGCCAGCACCACCACCCACCCTGTGCAGCCCCATGTAGAGCAGGTCCCGCAGCTCCCACAGCATGGGGGGCGGCCGGCCACCGCCGCCCCTCACACCGCTGCCCGCAGCAGCCCCGCCGCCCCTGCCTTTTGCGCCCACAGCCATTATTGCCCTAGCAGGGCCGAAGATCAAGAGAAAGTTACCATGGCGTCGCCGCTCCAGTCTCCTCCAGGTATCTTCGGGACTAACTAGGAGATGATGTAGTTGGGTAGCAGGGAGGGGTGCAAAGTTCCTGCTAATTCGCCTTCGCTGCATACAACTTGCATGTGCAAAATTTGCCGGCCGGGTGTTTTGGCGTGCTCAGCAGCAGTTCCTATTGGCTTTCGAAAGCCAATAGGAGTAGCACAGCTCATGCAAAAGTTGAAAAAAAAACCATCAAAAAAGGTGCCAGAACGCCGTTCTGAGCGTTCTATGAGAAAAAAAAAAAGCCCTGCAGATTAGTCTTCAAATATTGAAAAGGAGGACATGTAGGAGGACACTTTTTGAGGGAGGACAGAACTCACAAAAGGAGGACTGTCCTCCCTAAAGGAGGATGGTTGGTCACCTTAATGATACCATATTTCACGGAGTTACATTACAGAAAGGTTGATTAGCTGGAATCAAAAAAGGCTCTTTATATTTCAGTGTTGTATTCTAGTTAAATATTTTGTGTTCATTTCACGATCTGGGAAAAAATAGCAGTGTGAATGTTTGTCTTTGAGTTCTTAACAGTGTTTGCAAAAAAAGTACAGTATGCTTATGTCTCAGCTAAAATCAGGATGTTGCAAACTGGCAGATGATGAAACAAAAAAAAAATAGGTTTATAACAAGAAAAATATGTAGGCCTGAAAGAGAACAGGATAAGCTATTTTTTGCTGTAGGTTGGACCATTCTTAAAGATTGCTTTCACTGTGACTTTTGAAGTGAGAAACAAGAAAGAGAAGAGTTTTTGGTAGACTTTATTTAACAGCCACATGGAAACATTACTATCCTTTAGTCAGTAGCCAGCACAAAAAAAGAAAAAGAAAAAATGGTTTGTTAAATACAAATTTTAAAACAATTACTGGTCATATTCAGCAGTTTATTTTTAAATATACAAGTAGGCTAAAACACCTATCTTGTAAAATACTTTATATACTAAATGTAGCAGCCAAGTTGTAGTTGAACAGCTTTCAGAAATGAACAACATTCCATTTCATGCTGATCTTAATAGAAAATCCATGGACTTCCGTTGACCTGTGAGCCAGGAGTATGTAACTTCCATAAGGTTTTGAAATAGAGTTCCCTTTCAATGATCTGAAATGAAAAAAGAAACACAGAGATAAATAAGATGCTCAGAATATCTAATGTTCTATGCCTCTGTGACAGCTTTGAAGAACAGAGTAAATTGGAAATAGCTATCAGGCATAGCAG